GATGACTGCTATAGCAACATATAAGCTCTGGAGATGTTAGGCATTTTTTTTATCCTTGTGATAGTAGAAGTTGGTAGGAGCGTAAAGAATTTTGTCCAAGAAGAAACTGAGGTAGAGTCATCAGTGGCAGATCGAGGTCGACCGGATGGAAGGATAATATGTAAGTGGAACGAACTACGTGTAGATGTTGTGAAAGCAAGTAATGTTCACAGTTCGTACGAGTGGATATGATCGGGACCTGGAGGTTAGGAATCACTAAACTTGGTCAATATTAGTTAAAAGATATGTCCAGGACCTATGGTTCGTCCCTTGCAATTTCATCCCGGTGAGTGCACACGCACTGTATACTCATACATACACACACACACACACACACACACACTTCAGGAAAAAATACAATTAATGCTCAAGTGATAGCACTGATAAAGAAGAGGGTACACTCATGGGAAATGAGCAATCCAGAAGATACCACGGTGTGATAACGAATGAGGAAGAGCAAGTGACAGAGATACAAAGAAAGACAAACCAAGAGGAACTACGAACCTTTGAAACGACTAATGAGCAAATGAGGAGACGCTTGATGGAACTTAACACATCAAAGGCACCAGAATACCACCGATATTAAGAGAAGACAGAAATATTATACTAAATATTCATGGAGATCAGAGGGGGAAGGTACCAGACTAGAAGATGGTAAACGTGAGGAAGAAATCCCTGAATCGCACACCAGTGCCACGAGTGAGTCTATAGTGTAAAATTTATTAAAGATAACATAAGAACGTAAGATAGAAAGAACACTGCAGCAGACCTACTGGCCCATGCGAGGCAGCTCCATATCACCCCCCGGCTTAGACCAATGACCCACCTAGTCAAGTCACATCCACTTATGGAACGAACACGGCATCAGACCTAGTAGCACAAGCTAGTCAGGCCCAACTCACACCCACCCACACCCACTCATGTATTTATCTAACCTAATTTTAAAACTACACAACGTCGTAACTTCTATGACGGTACTTGGGAGTTTGTTCCACTCATCCACAACCCTCTTACCAAACCAGTGCTTTCCCATTCCTTCCTGAATCTGATTTTTTCCAAAGCCATTGCTGCGAGTCCTGTCTAGGCTAGATATTTTTAGCACGCTATTTACATCCCTTTTATTTATTCGTTTTCCATTTATACACCTCAATCATATCCCCCCTAATTCTATGCCTTTCTAGAGAGTGCAGATTCAGGGCCCTTAGTCTATCCTCATAGGGAAGATTTCTGATCGTCATCCTCCTCTGTACGTTTTCCAGAGCATTTATATCCATTCTGTAATACGGTGACCAGAACTGTGCAGCATAATCTAAATGAGGCCTAACCAAAGATATATAGAGTTGAAAAACAACTTGAGAACTTCTATTATTTATACTTCTTGATATGAAGCCAAGGATTCTGTTAGCTTTATGCACTGTTGTCTTGGTTTCAGATTACTGCTAACCAGAATTCCTAAATCCTTTTTGCAATCAGTAATATTAGATCTACATTATTTAGTTTATATGTGGCATGGTTATTTTCCTGTCCAACATTTAGAACTTTGCATTTGTCTGTATTAAACTGCATCTGCCACTTCTCTGACCACTGCAAGAGTTTATTCAAATCATCCTGGAGTGTTCTAATGTCCTCATCAGAATGATTCGGATGGCCTATTTTGGTGTCATCAGTAAATTTGCTTATGTCGCTATTTATTCTCTCATCTGTGTCGTTTATGTAAATTGTGAACAACAAGGGGCCCAATACTGACCCCTGAGGAACACCGCTTGTGACGTGCCCCCATTCTGATTTCTTCTTATTTATGCAAACTCTCTGCTGCCTATTTGTCAGCCATGCCTCTACCCAGGAAAAAATTACTCCTATTCCGTGTGCCCTAAGTTTCCTTAGTAGCTTCTGATGTGGAACTCTATCGAAAGCCTTACTGAAGTCCATATACACAATTTCATATTCATTACCATGATCTACCTCCTCAAATACCTTAGTGAAAAAATTAGTAAATTCTTAAGACAGGAACGCCCCTTTGTAAAACTGTGTTGAGACTCATTAATCAATTTATGCCTTTCTAGATGGCTACGAATTGCTTTGGCAATTATTGATTCCATAAATTTTCCCACTATGGAGATAAGGCTTATTGGTCTATAGTTCGAAGCCAAGGACCTGTCACCTGCCTTGTAAATAGGTATTACATTTGCCATTTTCCACTTATCAGGCACTATGCCAGTTTGTAGTGATATGTTAAAAAGATTAGCCAAAGGTATGCTAAGTTTCTCTTTATATTTCTTTAACACCCTTGAAAACAGTTCATCAGGACCTGGGGATTTGTTAGGTTTTAGTTTCTCTATTTATCTGAGGACCATGTCACAAGTTACCGCAATCGTGCATAGTTTATTATCGTCCTATTCTATATAATTTATTATTTCAGGAATTTCGCTAGTATTTTCCTGTGTAAAAACTTAAAATTTTAAACATTTCCTTATCCCTGTCAGTGATCTGACCAGAGTTACTCTTAAGTGTGCCAACCTTGTCCCTAATCTTACTTCTGTATACCTGAAAGAACCCTTTTGGGTTAGTCTTCGAATCCCTTGCGATTTTAACCTCATAATCCCTTTTTGCTTTTTTTATTCCTTTTTTTTATTTCTCTCTTTAACTGATTATATTGATTACTTAACTGCCCTTTCCCTCTTTTGATACGTCAATACTTGCCTCTCTTTTGACCAATGAGATGTTTTAATCTATGTTCATCCATTTGGGATCATTTTTGTCAGATCTAATTTCCCTACTTGGAACAAAAGCTGTCTGGGCAGCTAGCACTATGTTCTGAAAAAGGTCATATTGGCAACCAACACCAGCTACCTGACCCATAGTCAGGTCATCCCAATTTAGCCCACCAAGGTAATTTCTGTGTCCCACGAAATCGGCCAAGCGGAAGTCTGGGACAGAGATTTTATTGCAGTTATCTGGGTAATTCCATGATATATTGAAACTAAGTGATTTGTGATCGCTTTCCCCAAGCTCATTATTAACCTCAAGATTATTAATTAGTGATTCTTTGTTGGCAAGAGTCAAGTCAAGCAGGTTGCGTTCTCTAGTTGGTTCTGTCACAAACTGTTTTAAAAAGCAATCCTATCAACCATATCAAGAAAGCCACCAGACTCAAGATTTCCTATTACATTGTTCCAATCAATTTGTCTAGAGTTAAAATCTCCCATTAGCACAACATTTTCATATCTAGATGCCTTATGAATTTCATCCCATAGCAGCTTACTGCACTCCCTATCAAGGTTTGGGGGCCTATAAATTACACCCAAAATTTATTTTTCACAACCCTCGAGAAACTGTAGCCAAACAGATTCTGTGTCCGATGTTTCTAATCTTATATCTTGTCTAACATAACAACTTAAAGTATCTCTGACATACATCGCCACTCCACCACCTTCCTAGGCATTTCTCTATCTTTCAAGTTGAACCAGGTCTCCGTTATAGCAATAAAAATATCTGTATATATGTTGGTAGAATTACCGACAATATGTAAAGTAAAAGGACACAATTGCAACTAATGTGACATTTTACTGTGGCAACGTTTCGCTTTCCAGGAGCTTTGTCAAGCTGTTACGGCGTGATAAAGCTCCCGAAGAGCAAAATGCTGCCACAATAAAATGTCACATTAGTTGCCCTTGTGTCCTTTTACTTTACAATAAAAATATTTATATTAAAATACCTGCACTTGCAAGTAATCTTAGCTCATCTATCTTATTTCTTAGACTCCTACTATTTGTATAGTAAACCTCAAGGGAGCTAGTCACTCGTTGCCCTCTACTATCTCTCTTTGTTTGCCTTTACTAGCAACTTTATTTTGAATATTGTCTTTTAAACATATCCATGAGGTATCTTGGTAATATCTGCTGGTTTCGCCCCTAGTACTGCAGCCTGACTGTTTCCCACAAACGCCCATTCCTCTATAATCTATCAGTTTAAAGTCCTAGACAAGTCATCAATTACCCTCTCAATCGAATTGGCTAATGCAACCACTCCAGCCCCAGAGAGATGAACCCCATCCCTTGCATACATATCACATTTGCCATAGAATTTGTCCCAGTTATCAATGAATGGGATTGCAAGTTCCTTGCAGTACCTGTCTAGCCAGCAATTTAATCCAATTGCCCTAGACATTTATTCACTGTCTACTCCCATTCTAGGCAAGATGCTACATATGACTGGGATCCCTTAGATCTGATTACATCTATGGTTGACCTGTACTTATCCAGCAGCTAATGTTTCCTACCATTCGCAATGCCATTACCCCCAGCACTAAGACAGAAAATGGGCTTGTTCCCATTACCTGACATAATATTATCCAACCTGCTGACTATGTCACCAACACCAGCTCCTGGGAGACAGTCTCTGACCTTCCTATCTGTTACAAAAAGCATGGTCAGCCTGCATTAGGAAACAGGTCCTTCGGTGTAGGTGAAGTTTGTCAGGTAACAGGACAAGTATTTCCTAACGCGGGTCTCAGTCACATAGATGACCCGCGGCTGGAACTTTTGTTCATCTGACTGAGGCCTTCCGCTGGCTTATCGGTTCATCAATTATAAAAATTAAGGTTTTATATATAGGTCATTCGTTACTATTCTTATAGACATAAAATAGACCGAAGTCAGGCAGGGAAGAAAGGAATGGATGGACTTTATATTGCTAGAGTAGCTGAGGATTTTGATATGGTTCTACGCAAAAGGGTATTGGAAACATACTAAAATAGATTAAGGGATATTTAAATGGAAAAAAAAACTTAAAGTAAGAGACGAAACATCAGGATTGAGAAGTGTGTAACTAGTAGAGGACTTTAATAATAATAATAATAATAATAATAATAATAATAGCTTCTTTTCTTAGTTTTGAGATTCTTGTTACTTGTCCCAGACACGTTATTGTGAATTTTTCTTTACGAATTCTATTATATTTACCGGAGTTTACGGTGGAAGGTCGTGTGGATAGTTGACTCTAACGAAAGACACAGCGGCTAAAATACCGATGAACAACTCCGTCTTCCAGATACCTGCAAGAAAATGGAAGTTGTGATGAGAACTTTTAAATTGTTATTATGCAAATTTCACAATAATGAATGGGTTGTGCTACGGAAACAATCATATATTGGTTTTATTTAAAAAAATAATAAAAATAAATTAACTTTCAATCTCGGTTCGGTTGCATTAGTTTTCCAGCATTTGGTTACTAAAAAGAGCTTTTTTTCCTTTGATCCTAAATAGACCTGTCTTTATTGTACAAAAAATATATTGGAAAATATACATATCAACTTTGCGCTGAGCTCAGAACAAAGTAACTTTATTTATAGGTTAGTGAAATGACATAATGATTTAATAAGGATATCAGTACTTATAAGTTAGCAATAATACCTCTTATAACTTAGCAATAAAATAACACCATTCATAAGTTAGCAGTAAGATAACACCATTCATAAGTTAGTAGTAAGAAAACACCATTCATAAGTTAGCAGTAAGATAACACCATTCATAAGTTAGCAGTAAGATAACACCATTCATAAGTTAGCAGTAAGATAACACCATTCATAAGTTAGCAGTAAGATAACACCATTCATAAGTTAGCAGTAAGATAACACCATTCATAAGTTAGCAGTAAGATAACATCATTCATAAGTTAGCAGTAAGATAACACTATTCATAAGTTAGCAGTAAGATAACATCATTCATAAGTTAGCAGTAAGATAACACCATTCATAAGTTAGTAGTAAGATAACACCATTCATAAGTTAGCAGTAAGATAACACCATTCATAAGTTAGCAGTAAGATAACATCATTCATAAGTTAGCAGTAAGATAACACTATTCATAAGTTAGCAGTAAGATAACATCATTCATAAGTTAGCAGTAAGATAACACCATTCATAAGTTAGCAGTAAGATGACACCATTCATAAGTTAGCAGTAAGATAACACCAATCATAAGTTAGCAGTAAGATAACACCATTCATAACTTAACAGTAAGATAACACCATTCATAAGTTAGCAGTAAGATAACATCATTCATAAGTTAGCAGTAAGATAACATCATTCATAAGTTAGCAGTAAGATAACACCATTCATAAGTTAGCAGTAAGATAACACCATTCATAAGTTAGCAGTAAGATAACACTGTTCATAAGTTAGCAGTAAGATAACACCATTCATAAGTTAGCAGTAAGATGACACCATTCATAAGTTAGCAGTAAGATAACACCATTCATAAGTTAGCAGTAAGATAACACTATTCATAAGTTAGCAGTAAGATAACACCATTCATAAGTTAGCAGTAAGATAACACCATTCATAAGTTAGCAGTAAGATAACATCATTCATAAGTTAGCAGTAAGATAACACTATTCATCAGTTAGCAGTAAGATAACACCATTCATAAGTTAGCAGTAAGATAACACCATTCATAAGTTAGACAGTAAGACAACATCATTCATAAGTTAGCAGTAAGATAACACTATTCATAAGTTAGCAGTAAGATAACATCATTCATAAGTTAGCAGTAAGATAACATCATTCATAAGTTAGCAGTAAGATAACACTATTCATAAGTTAGCAGTAAGATAACACCATTCATAAGTTAGCAGTAAGATAACACCATTCATAAGTTAGCAGTAAGATAACATCATTCATAAGTTAGCAGTAAGATAACATCATTCATAAGTTAGCAGTAACATAACACTATTCATAAGTTAGCAGTAAGATAACACCATTCATAAGTTAGCAGTAAGATAACACCATTCATAAGTTAGCAGTAAGATAACATCATTCATAAGTTAGCAGTAAGATAACACCATTCATAAGTTAGCAGTAAGATAACACTATTCATAAGTTAGCAGTAAGATAACACTATTCATAAGTTAGCAGTAAGATAACATCATTCATAAGTTAGCAGTAAGATAGCACCATTCATAAGTTAGCAGTAAGATAACACTATTCATAAGTTAGCAGTAAGATAACATCATTCATAAGTTAGCAGTAAGATAGCACCATTCATAAGTTAGCAGTAAGATAACACCATTCATAAGTTAGCAGTAAGATAACACTATTCATAAGTTAGCAGTAAGATAACATCATTCATAAGTTAGCAGTAAGATAGCACCATTCATAAGTTAGCAGTAAGATAGCACCATTCACAAGTTAGCAGTAAGATAGCACCATTCATAAGTTAGCAGTAAGATAGCACCATTCATAAGTTAGCAGTAAGATAACACTATTCATAAGTTAGCAGTAAGATAACATCATTCATAAGTTAGCAGTAAGATAGCACCATTCATAAGTTAGCAGTAAGATAGCACCATTCATAAGTTAGCAGTAAGTAGCACCATTCATAAGTTAGCAGTAAGATAACACTATTCATAAGTTAGCAGTAAGATAACATCATTCATAAGTTAGCAGTAAGATAACATCATTCATAAGTTAGCAGTAAGATAGCACCATTCATAAGTTAGCAGTAAGATAGCACCATTCATAAGTTAGCAGTAAGATAGCACCATTCATAAGTTAGCAGTAAGATAGCAACATTCATAAGTTAGCAGTAAGATAGCACCATTCATAAGTTAGCAGTAAGATAGCACCATTCATAAGTTAGCAGTAAGATAGCACCATTCATAAGTTAGCAGTAAGATAGCACCATTCATAAGTTAGCAGTAAGATAGCACCATTCATAAGTTAGCAGTAAGATAACACCATTCATAAGTTAGCAGTAAGCTAACATCATTCATAAGTTAGCAGTAAGATAACATCATTCATAAGTTAGCAGTAAGATAACATCATTCATAAGTTAGCAGTAAGATAGCACCATTCATAAGTTAGCAGTAAGATAGCACCATTCATAAGTTAGCAGTAAGATAGCACCATTCATAAGTTAGCAGTAAGATAGCACCATTCATAAGTTAGCAGTAAGATAGCACCATTCATAAGTTAGCAGTAAGATAGCACCATTCATAAGTTAGCAGTAAAATAGCACCATTCATAAGTTAGCAGTAAGATAGCACCATTCATAAGTTAGCAGTAAGATAGCACCATTCATAAGTTAGCAGTAAGATAGCACCATTCATAAGTTAGCAGTAAGATAACATCATTCATAAGTTAGCAGTAAGATAGCACCACTGAGTAACTAGCTAAGTAGTGACCGGAGACCTTGGTCTTACAGCAATATTCTGTACTTCCGACAACAAAGAAATTCATTTATATTTTAAATTAAGATTTTGATGATGCCATTATTTTCTTGTCTTCACTTTCTGGTAAGAATCTCAAGGGGAAGGTGAGGAGGAGGAGGTGTGGGGATGGTGGAATGTGAGGAGGAGGTGTGGGGAAGGTGGAAGGTGAGGAGGAGGAGGTGTGGGGATGGTGGAAGGTGAGGAGGAGGAGGTGTGGGGATGGTGGAAGGTGAGGAGGGGGTGTGGGGAAGTGGCAGGTGAGGAGGAGGAGGTGTGGGGATGGTGGAATGTGAGAAGGAGGAGGTGTGGGGATGGTGGAAGGTGAGGAGGAGGTGTGGGGAAGGTGGAAGGTGAGGAGGAGGAGGTGTGGGGATGGTGGAAGGTGAGGAGGAGGAGGTGTGGGGGATGGTGGAAGGTGAGGAGGAGGAGGTGTGGGGATGGTGGAAGGTGAGGAGGAGGTTGTGGGGAAGGTGGAAGGTGAGGAGGAGGAGGTGTGGGGATGGTGGAAGGTGAGGAGGAGGAGGTGTGGGGATGGTGGAAGGTGAGGAGGAGGTGTGGGGAAGGTGGCAGGTGAGGAGGAGGAGGTGTGGGGATGGTGGAATGTGATGGAAGGAGGTGTGGGGATGGTGGAAGGTGAGGAGGAGGTGTGGGGAAGGTGGAAGGTGAGGAGGAGGAGGTGTGGGGATTGGGGAAGGTGAGGAGGAGGGGTGTGGGGATGGTGGAAGGTGAGGAGGAGGAGGTGTGGGGATGGTGGAAGGTGAGGAGGTGTGGGGAAGGTGGCAGGTGAGGAGGAGGAGGTGTGGGGATGGTGGAATGTGAGGAGGAGGTGTGGGGAAGGTGGAAGGTGAGGAGGAGGAGGTGTGGGGATGGTGGAAGGTGAGGAGGAGGAGGTGTGGGGATGGTGGAAGGTGGAGGAGGAGGTGTGGGGAAGGTGGCAGGTGAGGAGGAGGAGGAGGTGTGGGGATGGTGGAAGAGTGAGAAGGTAAGAGGAGGTGTGGGGGATGGTGGAAGGTGAGGAGGAGGTGTGGGGAAGGTGGAAGGTGAGGAGGAGGAGGTGTGGGGATGGTGGAATGTGAGGAGGAGGAGATGTGGGGATGGTGGAAGGTGAGGAGGAGTTGTGGGGATGGTGGAAGGTGAGGAGGATGTGGGGATGGTGGAAGGTGAGGAGGAGGAGGTGTGGGGATGGTGGAAGGTGAGGAGGAGGAGGTGGGGGATGGTGGAGGGAGGAGGAGGTGTGGGGAAGGTGGTGGTGAGGAGGAGGAGGTGTGGGAGAGTAGGTGGGAATGTGTAGGAAGGAGGTGTGGGGATTGGGATGGAGGTGAGGGAGGAGGTGTGGGGAAGGTGGGAAGGTGTGGAGGTAGGAGGTGTGGGGATGGTGGAAGGTGAGGAGAGGAGGTGTGGGGATGGTGGAAGGTGAGGAGGAGGAGGTGTGGGGATGGTGGAAGGTGAGGAGGTGTGGGAAGGTGGCAGGTGAGGAGGAGGAGGTGTGGGGTGGTGGTAGATGTGAGGGTAGGTAGGAGGTTGTGGGGATCGAGGAAGGTGAGGAGGAGGTGTGGGGATGGTGGAATGTGAGGAGAGGAGGTGTGGGTGATGGTGGAAGGTGAGGAGGAGGTGTGGGGATGGTGGAAGGTGAGGAGGGAGGTGGTGTGGAGGATCGAGGAGGTGAGGAGGAGGTGTGGGGATGGTGGAATGTGAGGAGGAGGAGGTGTGTGGGATGGTGGAAGGTGAGGAGGAGGTGTGGGGATGGTGGAAGTGAGGAGGAGGAGATGGTGGGGATGGTGGAAGGTGAGGAGGAGGTGTGGGGATTGGTGGAAGGTGAGGAGGTAGGGGGGGATGGTGGAAGTG